GAAATTTTTTTTTTTTTTTTTTTTTTTTTTTTTTTTTTTTGTGACCGGTAAGGGGATCGCAACCCTTGGCTTGGTGTCACCTGCACCGCGCTCAGCCAGTGAGCGCACCGGCCATCCCTATATAGGATCCGAACCCGCAGCGGGAGCACCGCTGCACTCCCAGTGCCACACTCTCCAGAGTGAGCCACAGGGTCGGCCCCATGGCAAATATTTTTCATAAGTAGAAGACATAATTGGGGCCGGCCCCATGGCGCACTTGGGAGAGTGCAGCACTGGGAGCACAGTGGCGCTCCCGCTGCGGGTTCGGATCTTATATAGGGATGGCCGGTGCGCTCACTGGCTGAGCGCGGTGCGGGTGACACCAAGCCAAGGGTTGCGATCCCCTTACCGGTCACAAAAAAAGACAAAAAAAAAAAGAAGAAGACATAATTGTTTGTCAATATGGCAAATTAATTACATACCCATGAACAACTATATCACTATTTTTTTTTTTGTCTTTTTTCGTGTCCGGCAACGGATCGCAACCCTCAGTGTTGCGCCCATACCGGACCGGGACCAGCAACATGATTGCAACGTGTCCGGCAACGGATCGCAACCCTCAGTGTTGCGCCCATACCGGACCGGGACCAGCAACGTGATTGCAACCCCCGCACCTCGCTCAGCCAGTGAGTGGGAACCGGTCTGTATGTGGGATCTGAACCCTCGGCGGGAGCGCTGCCGCGTCCCAAGCGGCACACTGTAGCAGTGCGCCACCAGGCCGGCCCAACAACTATATCACTATTAATATCACTATTACCAAGTTATATATTTGATTACATTATGAACACATTTTCAAAAAATTCTGTGTGTGGATATAGGGATGATTTTTTTTAATGGAAATTAAAACATTTATGAGAGCAGACTATGATTTATTTTTCTAATTTGTGTCAGTATCAGAATAATGTTAATAAATTATGATTTTCCTAATTTGAGGGAAAATACTAGGGAAGATTTAAAAGTTCATAGAAAAATAGAATTAAAAGACAATATGGATCTTACTATGAGCTTTTTCAAGTACCCTCATATGTAGTTTTTCTTTCAAGATCTTACCAAAAAATTCCCATTTGATAAAGTATATTTGTTTAAAAAATTAAATAATTTTATAAAACCTCACCCATATCATTCTCCCAGTTCTTATTTTTTTAATTAACCATATCATTTGGTAGAACCAAAACTAAACTTAAAGCAATGACTGCATGCACAGTATATGGACCACCTTTACTATTCAGTTACTCATTTAATCAAAGTACTCTGATGGGACTTTTTTCAGATCTTGACATATAAGTGCAAGATTTAACTAAAAGTAAATGCATAATTAAGAATGATTTTAAAATACAGAGTAATAAACTTCCAGATAAACATGGCCCATTGAACATATGTGTTTAATTCCAATTGCACTCAAATCCCCACTAAAATATCAGTAAGGAATAAAAATGATATAAACTCTAATCAAAAAGAGAAAAGGATAAAAAAATACTAAAAGTTTCCAAGGCAGGGAAAAAGGTCAAAAACAGAAGACAGAAAGACTTCAGAACTTCTAAATAGTAATACTGGCTCAAGAGTAGCTGACAAACTACAGCCCAAGAGCCATGTCCTACCCACCACCAGTTTTTGTAAAGTTTTATTGGAACATAGCCACACCCATTTGCTTACATATTGTCTATGGCTGCTTACTTACTACAACAGCAGAGCTGAATAGTCACAACAGCTGTTAGACTGTTATAGCCCATAAAGCCCAAAATATTTACTATGTAGCCCTTTACAAAAAAAAGTTTGCCAAACTCTACATCAGATAATACTCTACATCAACATACTGAGGGAACATGAAATCCCACCTACCATTCCTTATCCCAAACTATCATATGAAGTGTAAGGGTAGAACTAAACATATTTTTAGAATGGAAGGTCTCAAAAAATTTACTTCCCATGAGTCCTTTATTAGAAAGCTACTGAAGGATGTGCTCCACTAAAACAAGTAAATCAAGAAAGAAACTGACTTAGAATAGTAAGCACTCGATCTTTCTCTTCATAGTACAAAGTCAATAGAAGTCTAAAATTTAAAATATCAAGAAAGATTCATATAAATATATTATTTACAAACACAGATGTTAATATCAGAAGATACAGCTAAAGGAAATGAAAAAGTTCTTGCCCCTAAAAAGCAGGATTCAGGGCAGGGAAGAATCAGCCAAGGGAGGGTTTTGCTGCTGCTGCTGCTGCTGCTGCTGCTGCTGCTGCTGCTGCTGCTGCTGCTGCTGCTGCTGCTGCTGCTGCTGTTTTTAATCAGCCTTACAATACAATTTGACTTTTAAACTAAGTACATGTATTCACTTTGTTAATTATTAAAAGACATAAAAACAATATTACCTCCAAGTATTAAAACTTATTGTCAAATTTCTAAAATTTAAAAAACTGTAATATGTGCTAGAATTAACAGATCAATGGAACAAAATCCTGAAACAGACTATAGCATTCATAAGAACTTAATTGGTAATGAAAGAAGCACAACAAGCCAAAGGGAAAATGACAGAATGAGAAAGAGAGAAAGAGAAAACTGTTGCTGAAAAGAGACAAACTTTTTGACCTCCAGTTAGCTAAGGGATTCCCCAGCTCACCTGCCCTCCACCTTCAGCAGCTCAGTAATGACCTGCTTTAGAGTTCTGAGCTGATTCACGAGTAAGGGCTACTCCCACTTTTACACAATCCAACACATGATCCCTGCCCCGACTTGCCTTTAAGGATGTAAAGGGGGACTGAGGCAGGGTCCTTGGGGTATCCTGCTTTGTCCTAATCAAGCATACCTCTCCTCGGGATGGTGAGAGTTTGGAAGTCCACATGCATTCTATTGACAATCTAAATATCTCCCATAAATCTGATTTATATATGCCATGTATGTTGCTAAAGGTTTTTGATCCTGCCCTTAGTCTACTTGACAGGTGCCAAAATTAGCTTTCAGAAGAAAATTAAAATTAAATTCTGAACCTCATACCACTAACCAAATAAATTCCAGAAGGATTAAACAATTCAGTGTAAAAAAAAAATGAAAACATTCAAAGGAATAAAATATACAATTTATTACTAATGCTTGGATTAGGAAGAATTATCAATCAAAGCATAAAAGCAACATAAGAATTTATGAAGGAAAAGTCTTTTAACTACATAAAACTGTATGTCCAAAAAACACTGCAAATGAACTTCAAAAGCAAATGACAAACTGGGCAAAATATCTACCATAAATATGAGTGCTTAATATCCTAAATATGTATTTTTTAAAAATCTTTACCAGTATGTTTTAAAAAGACACTAATATCCAATTTTAATATAATAATATGAACAAGCAATTACCAAAATAACACAAAAAAATACACATACTACAACAAAACATATCAAATGTTCTATTTCACCACAGAGAAATACAAATTCAAACACAGAAATTTTTCATCCATCAAATTGGAAAAATTAAAAGAAATAGAGCCTTCAAAAATCATATTTTCGATCAACATTTATAGATTTGGGGAATTTGTAATAGGATGTCAAGTAAAAATGCAGAAAATATAACTATGTAATCCAAATTTTTTTAAAAAAACAGAAAATGTTTTATTTTCTTTCTCTTTTATGTTTTTAAAATCATATACAATGAGCATTTTTTACAAACAAAAAAATGTTTAATGGGCCAAAAATTGAGGTTGCATCCTAAGTGTATGATGAAAGGAAACTTAGTGATTTTGATAAATTTATAATAGCTAGTCAACAGCTAACATTTGTTGAGTGCTTACACGGGATCAAGCACCATTTCTAGGTTCATCGACACATTTCATCCTTGCATGAATCCTTGTGACACTGTTATCCCCATGTTATAGAAGACAGACTGAAGCACAAGAAGAGAAAGAAGGTCAAATAGCTGGTAGATGGAGAAGCTGATTCACACCCAAAGAGTCAGACTCCAAAGTCTGCCTCCCCATCAAGCTATAAGATGCTATACTGTGCAATAATGGAAACTGATGTTAAAGAAAAATATTTCATTGCAAATATTCACAACATAGTAACAAAAACAAATTGAAATCAATGTGCAGGGTAGGGTGGGTGTGTGTTTGTGAATTAATTTAATTAAATATTTGTCAGAAAGAGAAAGAATCATCCCAGCTCAGGAGGGCAGTCAAAGTTGGCCTTACTTGCTTTTCCAGTTTTTCTGTATTTCCTTGATAATAAAGTCCTTCCTTCAGCCAGGATACAGCCATCAGCAGGACGTAAGGGAGGTATGCAGAGCTGGGTGTGCTCCTGGCGAGACACCTTCTCCCCACCACTACACTGCTCAAAGAGAGAACTAAGGGCAGCCCCAAAGCTCATATTTTACTGATAAGAGCGTCCCTCTGGGCTATCATCGTCTCCCCACTAAAAACTACCCAAGATACCAATCCCAAGAAAATACACTTTCCCCAAAAAACATCGAGACAATCCCATCATACTCCCTGTTACTACCAGATGCCTAAGACTCCCATTACCTGGTTCTCTAAATCCACCAGCCTGACCCAATAACCCAATCCTCCCCAACTCTCCAAATCTTTCTGTCATGACCCCAGCAACTCATGGTCTCTCCTTAGTAACACCCCTGCTCTGTCTGCACGCTTTCTCCACCTTTTTGCTGCAGCTGAGAGCTGGTTCTCTCCTGAAGAGGCAGCTTCTCCACAGTGTGCTCACAGGACTCAGGTGATAAGTGCTGTTTGTCTTACACCACCACCTAACGCTAGCCAGGAGAGAGCAAGGTGGTTATTCTGTTTGTTTTTGCTATCACGGCCATTTTCAGAAGACTGATTTCTCCTCACTGAAAGACACAGAGAGAGGGGGCTGGGAGAAGAAAGGGAGGAAGGGAAAAGATGGTCTGCGGCATGTGCCGACAGACTCACTGCACCACCTACTACCTCTCCTGGAAGCCACCCAACTGAAGCCAAAGTCTCTACTACTCATTCAGTGAAAACTTTCACAGCTGGCTGGCCCCTGCCCGTCTCCTCCACTCTTCCTGTCTTCGCCAGTGACTTCAACACGCACTCAGATGAGCCACCTAGCCCCCTGGCCCTCACCTTGAGTGCCTGCCTCACTTCCAGTGAGCTTTCCCTCCGCCCCGGCTCAGCAAGCCAGGCTTATCACAGTCTCTCCACCTCCCAAGTTTTGACTGAAAGCATCTTCTGTTTCCTGTCATTCCAGGTCACTGACCCAGTACCCAACTCAGCTTCTCAACTTCATCAGGAGCTACTGACCCCATGGCTTCCTCTCTGTCCACCTTCCTGGCGTGTCCTCATTTTCCTCCTTAAGCAGCTCAGATTCCATGATCCATCATCCTAATCGCTCCCCTGCTTACATCCTCAACTCCTTTGCCTCTTTCCTTCTGTTGTACATTTTAGAAAAAACTAGTCCTGGTGAAACCAAACTCTCTACTTACCCAGTTCCTATCCCCAAACAGTTTGGTATGCCTGGAGAAAGACACCAACCACGCTCACTGGTCTCACTCTAAGTTTGTTTCCACAAATCTCAAATGGGCCTCAGCAATGCTTGCCTGCCTAGTACGTTTCCCTGGACCGTTCACGTTCTCCCTCTTCTAAGTGAGTACTTTACACACACCTTCTCTCTCCTCAAACCCCCAGCCACCCCTCTCTCTCCGAAGATCAGCTAATGACCTCCCTTCTCAAGTTCTGAGAAAATAGAAACAATCAAAAGAATCACCTCATCTTCTCACCACTTCTCTCCTTAAAAAGCGGCAAGCTGTGCCTGGTCTAATGCAAGGCTAGCCCTTACACTGAATTCCATTCCCCTTTCACTTTTTTAAGGACTTTCCTCCCATAATCGTCCCTTTTTTCTCCCACAATGTCAACTTCTCCCCTCTCTTGTATCATTCTCATCATTGTAAATAAACACACTGTGACATCTCTTACCTTTAAAAAGTCCTCCCTAAATCCACATCCCCCTCACTTATTACATAAGTAACCAGGAGAAAAGTTTTATTTACAAACTATAAAAGACTAAAGATGTATTGTTTTAATGAGTTCTTATTAAGTAATAAATATCAACCTTACCATATTTGGGGGAACATTTGAAGTACTGGACTTTTCCAACACTTCCATTATTTTTTCCTTCTGGTTCATCCAACTCAATGCCAGCCCACTGCCCACTTGCAAATTGAGTTGTTCCACAAAATCTTAATGTCCCAACCTAAAAAAAACATAAATTGGAATAACTTTTGATTTGGTAGTAATTTCAAGTGTCCTACGCTTACAAGTTTATGTTACCATAGAAGTTCTAAAAACTCATTTTCTCAAAGTAGACTTCAGAACAAGGAACATTATGAAGGATAAAAAGGTACATTAAATAATGATAAAGTAGTCAGTTCACCAAGAAGACACAGGATCCTAAATTGTATGCACCCAAGAACTGAGAGCTTCAAAATACATGGATAAAAACCAGTAGAAGTGAAAGGAGAAAGACAAATCCACATTACAGGTGGAGACTTCAAAATACCTCTCTCAGTAATCAATAGGCCAAGTAGGCAGAAAATCAGTGAGGATATAGAAAAATTGAAACCAGCTATAAACCAAGTTGACCTAACGGAGATTTACAGAACACTCTACCCAAAACAGTATACAAATGTAAAAGAACAGAAATCATACAAAAGTATGTTCTGGAATTATAATGAAATTAAACTAAAAATCACTAACAGAAAAATATATGTTAATCTCCAAATATTTGGAAATTAGACAATATACTCCTAAATAACACATGCATGAAAGAGAAAAACTCACAAGGGAAATTAGAAAGAAAATATTTTGAACTGAGTGAAAATGATACTATATCAAAATTTATGGGATGCAGCAAAAGCAGTGCTTAGAGGGAAATTTATAGCATTAAATGATGGTATTAGAAAAGGTCTCAAATCAATGATCTAAACTTTCACCTTAAGAAACTAGAAAGTGAAGACCCAAAGCAAACAAACGGAAGGAAATAATAAGATAAAAAGTCGAGAACAGAAAACAATAGAGAAAATCAGTGAAACCAAAAGCAGGTTCTTCGGAAGGATAAACATTAATAAACTTCTAGCTGGAGACCAAGGAGGAAAAGAGAGAAAAAAGGCAAATTATAAACTTCACAAATGAAACAGGGACATTATTACAGAACTTCAGTCATTTAAAAAGACAGTAAGAAAATACTATGAACAACTCAATGCCCATAAATTTGACAAATGGGATGACATATTCCAATTTCTTGAAAAACACAAACTGTCGAAGCTCATACCTGAATTGAATTTGTAGTTCAAAATATTAAAAATCTTGAGGTGGGGGGACCTCCAATGAACAGTGAATACTACCAATCAATTTAAGGAAAAAAAATAACAATCCTATACAAACTCTTGTAGAATATAAAAGTGAAAGGATCGATTCCCAACTCATTTTACAAAGCCAATATTACCTTAATACCAAAATCAAAGACATTACAAGAAAAGAAAACTATATACCAATATCTCTCATGAACACAGACACAAGAACTTAAACAAAATAATAGCAAGTCAAATCCAATAACGTAAAAAAAAAAAAAAAAACAAAAAACAAATCCAATAACGTATGGAAAGAATAATACATCATGACCAAGTGAGGTTTATCACGACAGACACAAGAACTTAAACAAAATAATAGCAAGTCAAATCCAATAACGTAAAAAAAAAAAACAAATCCAATAACGTATGGAAAGAATAATACATCATGACCAAGTGAGGTTTATCACGAGAATGCAAGACTAATTCAACAGATACCTTCATTACTAAATTTGAATAGTTTATATTCTTCAATCATACCTTATACAGGTTGGCATTCCTAATTTTGAAAAATCTGAAATCCAAAATACTCGAAAATCTGAAACTTTTTGAGCACTGACATGACGTTCGAATGAGCATTTTGGGTTTCAGATTTGTAGGCTAGGAATGCTTAACCAATTTAAATACCTGCAAATATTCCAAACCTCCCCAAAATCCTAAATTTAAAACATTTCTGGTCCCAGGCATTTTGGGTAATGGATACTCCACGTTAAGTTTCACATTTTCCATTAAGTGTCTTTCTACCTACAGGCTGAACCTCAAAATTCTGACCACATTGTATGCACCCCTGTACACAGGCCATGGAGATAATGACCTGGACACGGCTTTAGAAACTGCAGTTACTTACTATACCTTCTGTCCTGCAATAACAACACGATCCCCCAACTTCAAGCCAAGTGACGTAAGCATTGCCTTGCCAGTAACATGATCACAATTTGGAAGAATGGCTTTTGAGATATTACATGACAGAGGCACCGCATCTAATAACATTTGCTTGATTTCTTTAGCTGTTGCTGCAGCATCGGCCATTTCTAAAGGCATATCTACTGGGTCTGGAACAACATCAGCAGGGATCTGTCCTTTGTCATTCTACAAATAAAGACAAGAGAAAAATTTCAACTCATATTTACTTAGAGCTCTATAAAGTCATAAAAAATTTTTGCAGGAATTTTAAGTTAAATTCATTCATCATTTATTTATTCCAAAGTATTTACTGAACAACTACTATATGTTAGACACCATTCTAAGTACTAAAGAGATCAAGGTTAAAAAAAAAACAAAAAAGTCATGCCCACAAAGGGTGTATATTCTGATGGGACAGACTATAAACAATAAAACAAGTAAATTATATGATATAATAAATGGTAATAAGCCCAGAGGAGAAACATAAAGCAGAGAAGGGGAGTAGAGAGCATGGAGATGGAGGTGGTTGTAGAACTATTTATATCGAGTGGTCAGGGATGGCCTCACCAATAAGATGCATTTATGCAGAGATCCAAAGGAGATGAGAGAGTGAGCGTGCAGGTTACCTGATAGGAAAACGCACTTCGTGCATAAGGAAAAGCGAGTACTCAGGCTATGAGTGAACAGCATGCCTATTTGCATAGGTGCACAGAAGGCAACTACTCTGTAGTTGCCATCTTGGCTTTGTGACCTCAGCCTCCTGCCCACTCATGGAGTAAAATTCAGATTTCAGTAATAGAAACTATAGTTTCTGTATTTCTAAAATTTGGACTATAATCAAGAAAACAGCTCTGGGCCGGCCCGGTGGCGCAATGGAGAGTGCACCGCTTGGAAGCGCAGCGGCGCTCCCGCCGAGGGTTCAGATCCCATGTGGAGACCAGTTCCGCTCACTGGCTGAGCGTGGTGTGGGCGCAGCACCGAGGGTTGCGATCCCGTTACCAGTCAGTAGAAAAGACAAAAAGGAAAAAAAAAAGAAAAAAGAAAACAGCTCTGGTCTCACAATGAAGGAGAGACTGTATGTTGGGATTTATCCTGAGACAAGATAAAATGGTCAGTTACAAACCTGCTATCATTTGCATGGTGTTTATGTAATCAAAACCCTATCATATAAGTCACCTCACTTGATTATCACATCAAGAAAAAGCCTATGAACAAAACAGACAAAAATCCCTGTCCTTTAAGAGTTTACATTATAGTAGGAGAGACAATAACAAATTTTAAAAAGTAAAATATTACTAATATTTCCAGTTTGCCAGGAAAATTAGGCAATAAGAGATAAATGACTCCTTCAAGGTTACTTACATGATTACTGGCAGAGATGACATTACACATTATACACTAACCTAAACCCACCAGACTCTTACTGGGCCTTTCTACTGGCCCATACCTTCCCTCCCCCAAAAAAGTTACCTATCTTCTTATGTTCCCTAATCAAAAAATTTAGACTTTTCGAGAAAGAGTTCAGATTGTGATCTTTTTTTAATAGGATGCATCAAGATTCTTTTGCTAACTGAGAAACTTTTTTCCCTTTTCTTCTTTACTGCTGATAATCTTCAAATGATCCATATGGATTAAAGAATAAGGCGTTCAGAGCACACTTAGTTTGCAATCGCCTCACATTTTTTTTGTTTTAAAATTCAAGTCAGTTTGGTCCTAAGTAAAAATATGGTAGAAAGACATGTTATCAGATTTCTCGGATGGTGATGAACTATTTTAATCCCAGATTTCAAAGAAAAAATACAAAATGTAGTGAAGATATGTATAGCACTAATGTGTACTCTCTGAAAAAAGAGACAGGGGAAAAAAAATTTTAAACCTGTACTTATAAGTTGTAAGCTATACTTATAATATTTTACTTTAGACTTTTGTAATGTCCTCACTTTTTAGACCATAGTCACACATTTCTGTTATTTCCCATAAAATTTAGCAACCAAAAGTTCATCAAGAAAACTAAATAATCATAACAATAATAAAACAACAACGATGATGCTGTCTTCCTAACATAAAAAGGCTTATCCATGATTCATCATGCAGTTCCATTTTCTTCTACGGTGGTGGCTATCCAAGTGCAGTCCCAGGGCTACTGCTGATCGACGCATTGACTGCTTTTTTTTTTTTTTTTTTAAGTATAACTTTCAAAATATGGCGATCCATTAATTTGTTTCTGGCCTGAATTGCTAATTTAGCTCAATGACATACCTCACTGCATCCTACTAAATTCAAAATGTTACCCCCACTAACGGGGTTTTGTCAACACTGTACCAGAAAAATATCCAAGTGCAGTCCCAGGGCTACTGCTGATCGACGCATTGACTGCTTTTTTTTTTTTTTTAAGTATAACTTTCAAAATATGGCGATCCATTAATTTGTTTCTGGCCTGAGTTGGTAATTTAGCTCAATGACATACCTCACTGCATCCTACTAAATTCAAAATGTTACCCCCACTAACGGGGTTTTGTCAACACTGTACCAGAAAAAGCAAGCAGGTCCCACCTTCACCTTCCAGCCAGATTGAATTATCGTCTCCTAGCCTTTTTGTACACTACTTTATTTCTCACCTCCTTCCAGAATCTGGTCAATGCTTGCCTATGTTTAAGCACATGTTTAGATGTAACCTCCACGAAGCCTTGGGAAGAGGACCTCCTGATGTGTGACCCATGGCACAGAGTGCCAGCCCCCTTCCCACCCCATCGTGTCACCTGAACTTCCCACACTATACAGCAAAATGAACTGCTTACTCGTCCAGCCTCCCCTCTAGACTGTATTCTTTGTGAGGACAAGGACTTTACTGTATTGTATTTTCCTAGTGTCCAATAAACAATGCAGTCTCAAGAAAGGAAGGAAGCAAGGAAATTAAAGTCAGGGACCAATCAATGGGCTTCCACAAAAAGGAAAGTGGCAAAGGTGTAGAGAGGCCAGGGGAAAACAGGAAAAAAGGGAGGGAAGAGGAGGCTTTGTTAAACATTGCACACTCACCTCTGCCCACCCCCACCCCTTCAAGGGAAGTATACACCCAGTCAAGAATCCTTGCCAGGGCAAGCCACTGTTATTAATATAACAGAAATGGAAATTGAGAACCACTTTCTTGAAAACAATAAAATGTCAAAGGATTTGAAGATAACGAAATTCAATCCTGTGTGTTAACTTTGTAAATTAGTGACATTATTACTATAAAAATTTTTTTTCCTTTAAATATTTAATTTTCAAAGGTTTACTTCATTCTTAAATGTGCATTAATTTTAACTTTCTGGAATGAATTTTCTTTCCAAAGACTTTAAAATATGATTTAATATAAAAATGTAACTTTAAGATATGCATTATAGCAACTAACTTTTCATAAATATATCAATAGCTTAGATGAAAGATACTTAAACTCAGAGATTATATTTTAATGAGAATTTTACTTTCCTGAATGGAAGTGTTGTAGAACTTAATATAAGAGGACTGAGGCTCACTGTTATGCCTTAAACTTATTTAAGATAAACATTATCATCATTATTTCTTATACGTGGCACAAAAATATAAACTACTTGCTCATATAAGAGTTCTATTAATAACAACATCTAGATTCAACTCTTTACTGGGAGATAAGACTTTTTAATTCTTTTAATGTTTTTCACTTTTAATTTAACCTCTTACCCTAAATGCAGGATTTGCTCCATGTTCCAATAAGCATTTTATAGCACCTGCACACAAGTTATATGCTGCAATATGCAGAGCTGTTCCAAAATTAAAGTCACTGCAAGTGGCATCCACATCTGTAATTAAACATAACAAGTATACCAATGAAAAATTTTAATTTAGCTATTGTAGTTTAAAAGGAGACAGGACTTTTTTAGCTATTTATAAGACTTAAATCAACCAACTAAAAGCACTATTTCACAATGGAAAAAAATCTTTATATTATAATCTGGTTAAAATAATCAACTGGTGATTTTCTTTGTGCAACACAATTCATTATAAAATGGACTGATATTTTCATCACAAACCAAACCATATTTAAAAGCAATTAATGGCAACAATTCATATTTGTAAAAGTAACTAGCTTACCATAATCACTCATTAAATCTCTTGCATATTTGCCATGAAAACTACAGTGAGGTGGTGGAGTTTAAGTCAGGGATCAGCAAACTATGACCCGTGGGCCAAATCTGACCCACCATCTGTTTTTATAAAGTTTTATTGGAACTCTCATTCATATACATATTCTCTATGGCTACTTTTATGCTACAACTGTACAACTGAGTAGCTGCAACAGAGACCACAAGGTATAAAAAGTCAAAAATATTTACTATCTATCCTTTTACAGAAAAAGATTGCCAACCCGTGGGAAGTAAAACAATGCAGAATTTTTAAACCAGTTAAAGACTAATTAAATATACAAATGCTGAAGCTGGGAGTGGAGCTTCAGGAAGAAGGTGGCCTTGACAAGGAAGAGGCCAAGGCTCGGGCCATGGAGCTGGCGTACGTGGGGACAGCAGGCGGCTCACAGGGTACACCAGGGCCTGAAGAGCCCAGTGGCCTCCTTGAAAAGGCATTCAGCAGAAATATTTGGTGATTACCTGCAACTAGGAAGCTAGGAAACTTGGAGTTAAGAAATGTATGAATGTCAGAGATGCAAAGAAAAGTATCCACAGTTGGTACTTAATATTAATGGCAAAGACTTTACACATTACAGAGAGATGTCTTGTAAGGCTACAGAATTGTTGGAAGAATTTAGTCCAGTTGTTGAGAAACTTGGATTTGATGAAATTTTGTGGATCTAACAGAAATGGTTGAGAACAGACTACAGCAGCTTCAAAGTGATGAACTTTCTGCAGCGACTCTGTCGGGTCATATATACAATAATCAGTCTATGAACCTGCATGACATCTTGCACAGAAGACTAGTTGTTGGATCTCAGATTGCAGCAGAGATGCAGGAAGCCATGTATAATCAGTTGGGGCTCAGTGGCTGTGCTGGAGTGAATTCTAATAAACTACTGGCAAAATCAATTTCTGGCATCTTTAAACCAAATCAATAGGCAGTCTTACTACCTGAAAGGTATCTAGACCTCATTCATAGTTTGAACCACATACAGGAAATGCCTAGTGTTGGCTATAAAACTACAAACATCTTGAAGCATTGATTATCAATAGTGTGCATGATCTCAAACCTTTTTGTCATCAAAAATGTTGGAAAAGGAATTAGGAATTTCCATTGCTCAATGTATCCAAAAGCTCAGTTTTGGAGAGGATAATTCCTGTGACACCCTCAGGACAGCCTCAGTCCTTTAGTGAATAAGATACATTTTTAAAAAGTTCATCAGAAATTGAAGCTAAAAAACTGATTAAAGAACTTCTTGCTAGTCTTTTGAACAGAGTATGCCAAGATAGAAGGAAGCCCCATACAATAAGATTGATAATCCATCAGTATTCATCTGAGGAGCACTGTAGTTGTGAGAGTTGTCAGTAGCCTATTGCATCCCATGTAATTCAGAAGTTAGGTACAGGAAATTATGATGTGATGACACCAATGGTTGATATACTTATGAAACTTTTTTGAAATATGGTAAATGTAAAGATGTCATTTCACTTTACCCTTTTAAGTGTGTGCTTCCACAACCTTGAAGCAATAAATACTAAGAAAGGGCCTACTGATTCTTCTTTAACACATCATTATCAACAACTTCACACTCCGGCAAGTGCAGTTTTAAAATGATTATATAGTGACCTTCTCAAGGCTGGAATTTTTTTTTTTTTTTCTTTTTGGTGGCTGAGCAGTACAGGAACTAAATCCTTCACCCTGGTGTTACAAGGCCATGCTCTAACCAACTAAACTGGTCTGTTAGCTCAGTTGGTTACAGCATGGTATGATAATAAGGTCAGGGATTTGGATCCCTGTCCTGGCCAGCTGCCAAAAACTAAACTAAACTAAAATAAAATAAATAAAATAAAATGAAAGACACTCACATGGAAGTGAGTGTCTTTGGGAAGTGTTTCCCAAAGACAAAGAATCAAACTGGGATTTTTTACCAAGTGGAAGACTTGACAGTACAAGTCTCTTGTAGATACTACAAATTTTTCTAAAGAAAAAGACACTAATGAATTCCACTATTCACTTCTTGAGGGTGTTCACCAAGAAGTCTTTAAGCAGCTTCCAGTAGATATTCAAGAAGAAAAATCCTTTCCAGAAAATCTAGAGAAACATTTCAAGGGAAAGGAAGTTTGAGCTGCCTCTGGAGGAATACTATCTTTCTTTTCTACAAAACCAATGCAAGTATTCCCTTAAATCCTAGAGGTCATTTATCCGATAGCAAGCAGGTATCCTCTGTAACTCCTTGTGAACTGGGGACATCTGGCTTAAATAGCAGTAATTCCTCTTACCTGTCTAGCCAAAAGGATTATTCATATTATGTAGATAATAGATTAAAAGATGAATGAATGAGTGAAAAACTTAAAAAGTCTCAAGGATTTCACGTTTCAAATACAATCCCCATTGTATCTGTTTCCATTCATTTCCAAATTTGCACAGTGAGCAACTTTTCTCCAAAAACTGAACTTCAGACAGCCACAGCAAATGATAGCAACAGTCTCTCATCATGAAGGACTTACAGAAAATAGAGACCAAGATTCTGTTGATGAGAAAATTACTTTTCCTTCTGACATTGACCCTCAAGTTTTCTGTGAACTACCAGAAGATGTACAAAAAGAACTGTCGGCTGAGTGGAAGAGAACGGGATCAGATTTCCACACTGCACATAAATAAGCATGTTCAGAAAAAAGGTCTAAAATGCAAGGGAAGTACGGCTGTTGTCAGATTAGCAGTCTATTAAGCTCTTCTAAATGAAACACTAATGATATTCAATAACATAGAAATCTAAGGAAAAATGTTCCAGATGAAGCAAAAATAGTTACAGGAAGTAAATTCTGGCACAAAGCATAAATTATTCATAACAAAAGAAATAATGTAAAATATTATCTTCCTTTTACTTCTAAACCTATTTTATATTGCTTTTCAATAAAAAGAAATCATGGTTAGCACTAAACAAATAAGTAAACATAGAAATGCTCACATACATACTGATTCACAATACTCTTCTCAACAAATGAATTTGGACTTCATAACAAGAAAAGGAATCCTGCAATTCTAAGGACACTCTACTAACATTCAATAAATCATCATTATGTTATTCTTAAACACAGGATATCTCTCAGATTTGGGAATCCCAGTTTGAATATTTTCTATAACAAGGGTTTAATATACCTCTGGTTCTGCAAGTCCTACCTTAATCTAAATGACACCATCCCCATTAAGCCCTTCTTATTATTGCAAACAATCCAGGCATGATCAGGACAAACTCTCCTGAATTACTAAAGACATAATACTGTCAACAGAGGCTTTCTTCCCAACATCATTCAGAAAGTGAAAAGATACAATTTTAAAGAGAAAATGAACAATTATGCAAATCAGAAGGGAATTTATCTATTGAATCTCTAGAACATGTCTTCTACAATTGGGAAAATATTGTACATTCTCTTTAACTTAAAGTAATACTACTCACTTGTCCTCATATTTTTCTCAAAAGAAAACTGACCTCCAAGAGGAAGACAAGAGAGAAAATCAAAATACCAGGTCTGTGATTTAGACATTCTAATCTTCAATTTTAGGATATTATCAAGACATGAAAAAAAAAAATCTGAAATTTTATCCTTTAAGTTGAATCACAAAATTTCAGAACTGAATGTCATCTAAAATAAGTATTCTTTATCATTTCAATGCCTAGCTCTGAAGGCTTTACTGCTCAATTCCTGGAACCCAAGCAAGACAAAAGAATTATAATGCACACAGAATTGATTACACATAAAATCCATGTTACACTGGAGAATTTGTAGAGATATGAAAACCCAGAGAACACTTTTTTTATTTTTAATCTCTTTGTACTAAGCCTTTTGTGCTTTTGTTCAAGGATAGTAATTAATCTTCAATAAGGAAATTTTAAACTATCTCAGAAATAAAATGGGGTAGGAAGGCATATAAAGCAAGATAAATCAGAAGTAAAAACCTCCTTGAATGGGCCGGCCTGGTGGCGTCGTATAACTTCGTATAATGTATGCTATACGAAGTTATTACGCCACAAAGGGTGTATATTCTGATGGGACAGACTATAAACAATAAAACAAGTAAATTATATGATATAATAAATGGTAATAAGCCCAGAGGAGAAACATAAAGCAGAGAAGGGGAGTAGAGAGCATGGAGATGGAGGTGGTTGTAGAACTATTTATATCGAGTGGTCAGGGATGGCCTCACCAATAAGATGCATTTATGCAGAGATCCAAAGGAGATGAGAGAGTGAGCGTGCAGGTTACCTGATAGGAAAACGCACTTCGTGCATAAGGAAAAGCGAGTACTCAGGCTATGAGTGAACAGCATGCCTATTTGCATAGGTGCACAGAAGGCAACTACTCTGTAGTTGCCATCTTGGCTTTGTGACCTCAGCCTCCTGCCCACTCATGGAGTAAAATTCAGATTTCAGTAATAGAAACTATAGTTTCTGTATTTCTAAAATTTGGACTATAATCAAGAAAACAGCTCTGGGCCGGCCCGGTGGCGCAATGGAGAGTGCACCGCTTGGGAGTGCGGCGGCGCTCCCGCCGAGGGTTCAGATCCCATGTGGAGACCAGTTCCGCTCACTGGCTGAGCGTGGTGTGGGCGCAGCACCGAGGGTTGCGATCCCGTTACCAGTCAGTAGAAAGCGACACCGAGGGTTGCGATCCCATTACCGGTCACGAAAAAAGACAAAAAGGGAAAAAAAAAAAAAAAACCTCCTTGAATTATAATTGTTATGCTACTACTAAAGTTTTGAATTAACAATAATGGTCAGCTGATAGTACTTGCCTTTGGGTTTTGATGTCTTCAAGATCACTCTTATAAGTTCCGGAACATCAAAATAAGCAGCATAATGCAAAGCATTCATGTTTGTCCAGCGACTCCGCAAACTAACATCTGCTCCCAGATCAATGAGTTGAGTTGCAAATTTTACAGCTGTCTCAACATCACCTGAAGAAGATTTTCTAAATTATTTTTCTTTAGTACAAATTCTAAGTTCCAATGGACAGCTATCTACCACCTTATGTAAAAAGCCAAAGCAAATAGCATACTGAATACACACTTACTCCTCAAAATTTCACTTTCAGGAATTTATTCTAAGAAAATAATCATATTCAGGGATGCAGATAAGCACTTAGCTGTAAAGATATTCACCACTGTACTGTTTATTATGAATAAAATTCCAAAACAAATTCAAAGTATCATAATAAGAAACGGTTAAGTAAATTGTGATATCCATTTAACAGAATATTAAGAAGCCATTAAAAATAGTGTACTACACCAATGCTCCTCAAAGTGTGTTCTGTGGACCACTGCCAGTCCCAAACTATAATGTTTGTATTTTCTGTAACTCTTTTCTTTTTCCCTATTTAATGTTTCTTCTGAATATATTAACTGAAATGTAATTTTATGCCTTTTGAAAAATATTTGGGCTTATATTTTATGTCTTTATTTCATTTTTATATTATAAATTCTTTTTTTTATTATTTTACAAAAGTATCAGTCCATGATGGATTGAAGGATGGAGTTCTTCACCAATAGCTTAAGAAGCACTGTATCAGACTACTGAAACAGGGAGAGACAATCACAATATACAGTTAAGAAAAGCAGGTTTATTAAATGGTAAAGCACAGGAGAATACCAATTTTGGAAAATATGCACATACATTATATATGCAGGAACAGACCTTATGCAGGCCTAAAGACTGAGGTCTGTAGGAATTAGTATGCCCACAAAACTGATCATGGATTGTCAAACCTTGCTGTAGACGTTCAGGAAGATTCTAGGATTTTACCAGTTACTCTCACCTGTAGAGCAGTCAGGCATGGAGCCTGTTTCAGAAAAGTAGAGAAGTATCAGGAGGGTATAGAGACATCCCTGAGAAAAGGGAGCAAGGTTTTTGGAATGACCTAACTGAATCCTCACCTATTCGGGCAGTATTATTATCATTAGTTGGGCACCCTCACAGGGACTTTGATTGGCATAAACATAGATTACATAAACACAAATGTAGACGATCTAAGCAATTAACAGATTTACCACATACATACCAATACCGTGAGCTCCAGATTTGCAGGTGTAATGTAAGAGAGTCATATCTGTCAGTCCATCTCTATCATTCACATTACAACCTCTCTTCAGAATCTGAGGAAGCCAAGGACAATGTGATTACAAAGCAACTACTACATTACTGATTACTTTCAAACCAATGCTAAGGATCCAAGGTAGCCTGTCTTATCTGAATTACTTCTCAGTAAAATGTATAAATAGAATTGGCTTCTCTTATGGGTAAATTTTAAATCTCTACTCAGCAACAATAATGAAAATTAAACTTGTCACCAGACTGGAAGAAATTATCTTAAAAATTATTCCAAAGTAATCCCCAACTACATTCCTCTCAAAAATGAGCAAAATTTTCTTTCTAATGGGTGGAATGCTATTTGAAAAAAGTATAAGTGCTTTCTTCCAACAACATGCTATGTGCTGATCAAGAAATCTTCCCTTAAAAACAAAATATTTTTGAAAAATTATATTTAAGCCTAGATCCTTACCAAAACCACACATAAGTGTAGGCCGAACATAATGATAATCAAATCCCCTCATGAAATGCATAAAAGTTTGCAAAATTAATCTCTACAAAGCAGGAAAAACGACAAATGCCTCTCCCTGCTCCCCTCAAGGGTCTATAATGTCAGAACTCCAGGTGTAAGACACAGAGCATGAGGGAATAACAGCAAGAATGAACACTGCTAACTCACTGCATGAAAAACCTGGAAATACACATAACAAATATCAGAATCTTTAAAGAAGTTCTCCTTTATCACCATCTTTCTATTCACATGGGAAAAAATATTAATAATTCTAACAATATAAAACTTAAAACCTAAAGATTCCTTACCTCATTTCCAATAATGTCAATGTTTTGCTGGACCTGAGGAACCCATTGTCTTAAAATGGCAAATAATTCTGAGACTGAAGTCTTGGGATCAAAGAGAATTTCCTGGCATGATGCATCATTAGGATCGAAGAAAGAAAACTCTGTTGAAATAAAAAAGATGTAATTAAATTTATTAGAAGTTTCAAATAAATATATTGAAAATAATAATAAGACCAAGGTTCAAATGACACAAGTATATTTAGATGCTAGAAAAAGTAAGTTTTCCTTAAGCAATTCTCAAAACCAAAGTCAGGACCATCAAAAAGTCTGAGGCTGGTCTGAACTGTGACAATGAGATTTCCATGTATTGTACTATATTTTATTTTAGATGAAACCAATGTGAGTGCACAGATCTCAAACCCTGAATTTTCCAGGTACTATTTCTAAGACACGGAAAATTTTTCAATATTCTTATCAATATTCTTGCCTCTCAAAACATAAATGTCATTAGCAGTAGATTCACATCTATGATAGCTAATAATATTATATTGTATATTTCTAAATAGCTAAAAAAGAGGATCTTAAACATAATCACCACAAAGAAAAGATAAAGGTTTAAGTGATGGATATGCTGTCTACTCTAAGTGAATCACTGTATATGTACTGAAACAACACACTGTACCCCACAAATAGGTACAATTAAAAATAAATAAAATTTTAGGGCCGGCCCGGTGGGAGTGCGCCGCTTGGGAGCATGGCGGCGCTCCCGCCAAGGGTTCGGATCCCACATACAGACCGGTTCCCGCTCACTGGCTGAGCGAGGTGCGGGCGCAACACTGAGGGTTGCGATCCCGTTGCCGGTCCCGGTCCAGTACGGGTGCAACACTGAGGGTTGCAATCCGTTGCTGGACACAAAAAAAAGACAAAAAGGAAAAAATAAATAAATAAATAAATAAAATTTTAGAAATTTTTAAC